CGATGGATTATCACTAAGCACCAGCTTGCACCAAATAACAATCTGTCTGCTCCAATCCTTAGGACAATTCGCTATACTTAGCAGCCTAGCACTGGTACGCATTCTTAAAGAGCCAATATGCGACTATGGTTGTTGCTACTATTTCTTTTATATTAAAGTTATAAAACAACCCTTTATTGTAATGTACTCTGGTATTCTACTGCATATTCTTTGAGCAGCTTTCAATAAAGTAATATTGAATAGTAAGATATAAATAAGCATAAGGCACACAAAAATGCTTTTTAATATTTTAACAAAAATATCATACTTTAAAATGGATAGTGATGTTCAGTATGCAATAATCAAGGCATAAATGAATATATCTAACATACATAGTTTGCTTAATATAGCTGTAAATCAGGTCAAGTATAAATTACACAGACAACTCTATTCAGAGTAATCTTTTTATATATCATTTCCATACACCCCTGTCGATAAAATAGCAGTGACTCAGGAATAAATGATTCATTAGGCACTTAAAACTTCTTGTCTCATGTAATTTATCTATATAATTTAAAATTACTGAAGAATCCCAAGGATCTTTTCTTGCTAAATTATTTTGAGATGATTTATATTTTACTAAGTTTCAAGGACACCTCCCCCCACCACACACACACACATTCAAAATTAGGTAACTATCAAAATTGCTGTCATAATTCATATATCCATAAGGGGAAAACTCATCCTAAAATAGAAAATTACAATTAGCAAAAACCATTCAATCTTTTTTTTTAACTGTTACACAAAACAACCTGGTGATTATAAAGAGTTGAGGTGTCTATTTTAATTACCTGAAACAATTGAACACCACTTTTGAGTTTTCATTGTTCAGTGTGTCTTTTTAAAATGAAATGTCCTGTCTATAGCTTTATAATGAAAAATAAAAAAAAAAAGCACAAGTATTCTTCAAGTTGTTAGGGTAATTTCCTACATCATTCCCCAAATAAAAACTTGATCCAGCCAAATATTAAATTATTGAAATTACAAATCTGTTAATCTATAGCACATTTTACTCATTAGTGTAATTTTAAAATTCACTTTCATGTGATTGACTGTTGTAATCTTCCTTAACTAGTGAGTAACTGAAAATAAATGGTGCATTCCTAATACTATAAATATGAAAAATAGGAAGTACTTAGGGACTGCAGGCGAATACATTAAAATCAGTCAGTTTTCTAGTTAACATATTCTCATTCTGTTTGTGTACAAACCCACTGCATTGAGAAGACATCACAAATTCATGGCCTCACAAAAACATGGTCTCGATGTCATGTTATGACAGCAGAAATTGGCCCAAATCTCTAACCATTTCCCCTAAAGGATCCTGGCTGGCTGGTGCCATCCAGGTTAGGCAATCTGAACGAGGGGAACATCATGTCAAATTCCACTCATCTGTCAGTGTAGTGGATTATTTCTTGAGAGACTGAAATTGGCTGTTTGCTGTCTGAATACCATCAATCTTACCATGTAGGGAACAGCCAAACTGCCTGTAAGAGGCTGGGTGGCAGAGGGTGGGGATGGGGGGGAGCCATTCCTAATCAGGTGAGGAGGCAGCTGTAAAGCTTTCACTCTCCCTCCATTCAAGGCTCTGAGTGAAAGATTTGTCATTTTCCACATTTCTCAGATGCTTGGTATGCACGTGGAGTCTGCCCGCTCTTGCTTTATGAAAGAGGTGATTTTTCAAGCTTAGGCAAATGTGGCAGAGCTCAGGATCTGCGGGTGTCTCATTTTTTCTCATCATGTCACTTGTTTTAACCGATTTGAGCAAATGAGATTATATTTTTCCTTTTTGCTCATTTATCCAGCAATTTATTTATTTATTTGTTCATTTAGGGGTGGATTGTCACAGATAACTGGCCCTGATTTCTATCTTGTTTTCATACACATTTCATTAGTGTCCCTGGAGATTTAAGACCTACAAGGCAAAACGTCACAACTCTAATCTAAAAAAGACATATTTTTATTCTTAAAATCAAAAGATTGTATTAAAGGATCTGACTGGAATAATCTAGAATATAGCTATGACCAAGATCTATCACCTTAATCTTTGCAGCTATTGTCAAAAACCAAGTAAACGTATTATATAGAACTATTGGATGTTAAGTTTAATATCATTTTAATCATTCTGCATCTAGGAAGGGATATTTATAGTTTCTTCATTTCAACAATAAAGCTGAAATGGGTCTCAAATGTATTAGCACTTGGGGTCAAAATTGGTTTCAGTGCTGCAGTTTCTTGGGGTATTTGACACACAGATCAACTATGCATTCGTTGATAATACACAAATTCTAAGAAAGAAAATGGAGAAAACAAATATTGAGTTTAATTTCAGCCAGAACCTAATATGTGATTTTCAGTTTAAAAATATGATATTTTAATAATAAGCCCTATAAAGACATAAGTTTAATTATTACACATAACCCAAACAGAAAAACTCCATATATTCACTGATTAACAGAGACAACTATGTGAAAGCTTGTTACAAATGGTACTGTATCTATTTCATGATTATATGCATAGAGTAAAATAAGACACATAGCATTGGTGGTATATTCTAGCCATGTACCACATGATTAACAAAACAATAGCAAGAGAAAAAAAAGAGTTGTTGCCTTGGCTATGTGGATTATTAGCTGTGTGAACAGCAAAACTTCATTCATCAAACATCCCTGGCTTGCAGGTTTACAGTCTATTAAGTGGGGACATCAGTAATTTCCAATATTTGTGAAGAACTTTACAGCTTATAAAAGACTTATTAGAAGTTATTTTTACTATATTTACACCCCACCTCACCCGCCCCCCCACCACCATATCTATAAATGGGAAATGAGAGCAGAAAAGTCAGTTGTCCAAGGTTATGTCACTAACCTTAAGTGACAGACTTGGATGGCCAGCCCTGAGCCCTGCCTTCTCCCCTCAACCACGTGCCACTCACCAGTTCTGCCATGGCCACCTCTCAGAATGGGTGTGCAGTTCAGATGAGACCAAGTTTTGACATAATGAAAGTTTTCAAAAATTATATGAAGGGGCTCACACTTCTGCAAAGAAGCTATTTGGCATGGTCACTTGGTGCACTGAGAGGCATTTTCCCCTCCTAGGGACACAGGCTCTGGCAGTGAATCATACTGATCTGACTTCCAAAGACAGCTATTCCCTGTGTGGCCTCAGACAAGCCACCTAACCTTTCAGAGTTTCTGTTTCCTGGGCAAAAGGGGGAGAAATTACACCCATTTGCATCAGGATTCAACTAAACAGTGTGAATTAATCCTAAGAGCCCTGCCTAAAACATACACGTAATAGTTGTTTTATCATGAATTCTTACTGTTGAGCATCACAACGAGTGCAAATGTCCCGCATTGTTTATTATTTATGACCATGTAGTGAAAGACATTTGTGCCAGAACTGACTGTGATTAAGCGATTGGAGGTAATGTGGGAATCTCAAATTCACTTTTGTTTTCCCTCCATCCCGGTTGCACTGAGGCTTGAGTGACTGTTCCCGCGCCAGGCTCCGGACACAGGATGCAGAAATACAAGCGCGTCCTGAAGCAGGGCGGTTTCCATGCCCACCTGCAGGGGCACTAGCGCCCCCTCGCCTTCCCTCTCAGACCAGGGCGTGGGGAAACAGGATGGCGGGGCCCAGAATCAGCCCCCAGCCTCAGTCCCAAGCACAAGCCAGCCCCACCCCTTCTCCCGGGGCGGCCCGAACTCTAACACCAGCAGGCTTGCGCGCTCACTGCAGCCTGGTGCAGGCGCGCGGGAGGACCCTGGGCTGCATCCGCGCTCTGACAAGCCTGCCCCCAGCAGGGAAGCTGAGCCCCGAGAGGCAGCAAGCGGGGCCCCGGAAGGTATTGCTGGAGGACTGTACAGAAGAGCCTGGAATCGGTGTCCAGGCCGCCTGAGGAGCCAGGGAAAGGCAAGGGCGTAGACGCTGGACCACGCAGCAGGAGGAAGCTCGACGGATGGGAGGAGGCCATTGATGGGATTTGGAGAGGCAGGTGGAGGGCTGGGAGCACTTCAGAACTCAGCATCAGAAACTCGGGCGCGCAACTGGTCCCCAGAGCCCGAACTTGACCGTCGCGAGAGAGGAAGGGAGGGGAGGGAGGGAGGTTGGGTGGAGGGTGAAGGCGGGGTGGGTAGTAGAAGGATGCGAAGGCTGATGCTGAACAGAAAATGGAAGGAAATTTTTCCGAGAACCGGGGAAGGTAAGGACAATCGAGCTGGGAGGGACTGTAATGAGAAAGCTGGCGAGGCAAACAAGGAGAGCAAAATCCAGATTGAGGAGCGGGGCCGTGGATGGGTGAAAAATACACTTTGAACATTAAGAGGAAGAAAGCAAAATGCGTCCGGAACTAAAAATTCAATATAGGGAAAACAAAACAAAACAAAAATCAGGTGGGAGGGACCTCATCCCTGAAACTGCCAAAAGAGAGGGAAAAATGCCACTGAGCATACCGGAAGAACAGAAAGTGAAGGGAGAAAGGAAAGGAGGCATATTATACCAGACAAGAAATAGTAAGTTACTTTTTAATTTCTTTTTCATTGACAACTTGCTTCCAAAGTTAATTTGGGGACTATGCCCCCAACAAAATTCTTAGCCACATACAGACCAAGATTATAGTAGGTAAAATCCTCAAGTCTTGAAAGTTATTCCACCTTTTGCAGAATATTCTGCTATTGGCCAAAGTGTCCAAAAATAGATGACTTCTACTTTTCAAGGTGTGTAGAAGCAGGTGGGATGACACTTAGAAAAACCCACCTTTTCTGATAAATTAATAGGAATACCCCCAAGACATTTTGGCACACTCCCCTTCCCCCAAAGCATCTAGCCAACAATATGTCTTGGAATTCAAAGGCAAGCTGCCCACACTACAGCACTTTATGTCACTTGCATTCAACCATCTGTTAAGGAAACAGTGGTAAGACTAGAGGAGGCTGCAGTGGATCCAGCTCCTGACTTACCTGGTCTGTGCAGGTGATGCTGCTGGAAAGTGTGCTGAAGGGATCCATGGCAGAGTAGCATTGCACAAGCACTTATCCACAAATACAGGACCCAGGACATCGCAGAGACCATTGCCATTCTCTAAAGAGAACATTCGACAGGAAAGGTTACCCGCGGCTGCAAGCCCCCAGCTCAGTCAGCCCCACTGATGAGGGAAGGGAGGTCTCAGACGTCATGTTCCTTTGCTACTTCTCTGGCTAGAACTAATGATCCAGCAGAGGTCATGCCATGAAGTGGGATTGAGGGAAAGCCCTTTTCAGATGATCATACATTCATTTTTTTTCTTAATTCTGCAAAACTCCAAGGATTGCCAAAATGCAAAAATAAAGTTTTAGACTATCAGTTAGTCAGTTTAAAACAATGCGTGCTGACTAAAAATCCTATTTTACACAATGATCTTTAAACTATAGTTATCTCAGGCACTGAAAAGCTGCAGACTCCTCCTGTTCATTCTAACTTCATTGCAAGTCTGACATAAGCCTGGAAGGAAAGAGTGGGTTCTTTTTTTTTTTTTTTTTAATTCTACAGTCATGAATTTTTAATTGCAATGCTGTCTTCTAAACTAAGTAATCATTTCTCAGAGGCATGTTGTAATCTCCTGATAGAACCGATCCTTTTGACTGGACCAAAGAATCAGAAGGGATTGTGTTTAGCCAGAATGAGTTTCAGATGCAAGACCTATGCTTCTATCCTAGAGCAAGCCATAATTTACAATATTGCTTAGCCTCCTAAGATTTCATTGTAGCTTTTGTTGTACAGCATTGATGAATATGCATATACAGGTGGCATATGTATTTATGGATGAATATGTACCTTTTCTTGGGCACTGAAACTTTGACAGTCTTATCTGCACCTGTGAGGATCTTAGGAACTACAAAGGCTCAACTGTGCTATATATTGTCCAATTTCTCAAACAACACCTTATGCTGCATTTCATATTGCCAAATTAATCAAACTTGAAGCACCGTCCTTACTCAGCCAGTTATAGGGAAGCATTTTCTACACAAGAATCCAGTTAACTGTATGCTTTTCTGTTAGGTCGAGAGGACTTTGGAAGAAGATTTCTTTCTTTCTTTTCCTTTTCACTGTCAAATCATACCCTTCGAAAACCTCAACTATACATTGAAAACGTGCTAGTAACCTGCCAGCCTGGCTTCTTTATTCATGAAAATTGGTTCTTTATTAAAAACTGTGATGTTCAGAAAACAAAAATATACATCATATATATGCACATAATGCAGGCTCATTTGTGGATTTTAGCAGACAGATACAGCCTTGGAAGGATTTTAGGACTATAATAGACAAATGGTGACAACTATAATTAAGGGCAAAGTAGGAAAACATTATTTTCAACAGTTTGGTGCTATTCATGCCTAAGTCTGTGATTCAGATGGAGCATTCACTTTCTAATTAGTTTCACTGCCCACTGTTTACTTTTGTATACAACATACTTTGCCTTATTGTTTTCAGAACTATCGGGATAACATACATGCATTCTCTTCAGTGGAAATGAATAGCAGCACCCCTCCTGTGAAACCTAAAATGAATGTATTTGGGGACTTTTTCAGAATACCCTGCAAATTACAGAAAGACAAAAACAGAGATGACTGTGAATGTATTTACTGCTTGTGAATTGCAGTTAAAATGTACTAGAAATTCACCTAAACTTGAAAGAAAAATCCTGCCACAACCAAAACTTAATAGTTTTTCAATGACTGCTTTCTCTTGCTCATTTCTTCACCCATATAGATCCTACCACTCAAAAGGATTACTGTGACTTGATGCTCGCAATATTTTCTTTTTTAATTTAACTTTCTTTAATTCTCAGCATTACTTCCAAACCTCCTGCATGCCACTCTCACTGCTTGCTCTTTTACCAAGAGGTTGTCTCAATGTTATTAAGTGTCTTCCCCAAATAAAGCATTCAGCCTTGCACAATTCTCTAGATATGCCTGGATATGCTTCAGATCTGCTTTCTGAATCTTAAACCCTCAAAGATGCTTCTTACCTGAAAAATCCAGCCAAGAGCAGAGTACTCTATTAGTGTTCATTGGAAAGATCTAACACTTTTTAAAATCCATCTGTGCCACAATTTGAAATCTTTTTTCAAAGAGCTTCCCAACAATCTTCTTTATCAGGATTAAAAAAAAAAAAATGTTACTCTCTTCCGATCCTATTTCCACAGTAAAAAAAAAAAAAAAAGAAAAAAAGAAAAAAAAGACATCAGTTCATTCAGACTGTATTGTCAGAAAAGGAGCCAAGGTTTGAGGGGTGGAAACCTTGTCATTTTCACCTTTAAATCATCTCCTGGCGTCACCTCTGCCTGACGAGACCTTTGAAGTGATGGGGAGATAATGTGCAGTTTCCTGATGAGAATCGGTTTATAGTTGCCGATGGACCATCCCCACTCCAGTGCATTCGGGGCAGAGTAAGGCAGCAAAATGTAGGAGCAGGGCTGCTATACGGTGCTGTAAGTAGCAGTAGTCTGTTTCAATACATCCCTCCGCTCCAAAGTATCACATGTCTTAAAGTGACATTACCCTCTATTACAGCTACAGTGAATTGTAATATCTGCCCACTAACTCTTCAACAACTCAAGCAGCGCTTTAACACTATATTGCCTGATTTATTATGTTAGAGGTCCTACTGATACCACTGATTTAACAAAAGAGTAAAGAGGGAAGGAGAAACAAGAAAAAAAGCGTTCTGCAAAATACTGATAGTATTAGTGGGAGTTACACTTCTCACAGTAAATGGGAAAGTGAAATATAAGCCATTTCTTACCTCTTAATGTTCTTTTTACCAGTAAGTTAACCACAAATATTGTCAGGTTTATACTAATTTAAGTCTGCTGGTTGTTTCAGCAGTTAAATAGGAGGCTAGAATTTACCTGGAATAGGACATAGATGCATATATGCATAAGTCCAATAAAAACCTTCTGAACTTTTTGAACATGTTTAATAAATAAAAATGTGTTATTTTTAGCACCAAATGAAGAAATATGCTCACAGCTCTTTTTTAAAAATTTTTTCTCTCCTTCAAATAACATGCTGGGGTAGGGAGGGAAAACACTTAGGAGTTCAATGTCTTGTTTCTTGTACTATGGTTTGAACCCTTTCTTTTTCAGAAATACAGTATAATTTTGCCTAAACTTCAGGGATGCATAGAAAGGGACTCAGTTTTCATTTGTCAATTGCACAGGTGATAATTCTCTGAAATACCTTCAGTTATTTCACAGATCACTTATAAAGCACCTACTATGTGTTAGGTGCCTGGGGAACAACGCAGAAAACATGATTGATGAGATCCTCACTGTTATAGATCATATTGTCTAGTCTTTTATGGTGTTTTCAAAATCAAGGTAGTTCTCATAATATTCCTTCCTTGGAAACATTTTGAAATTCCCCAGGATACTCTCTTGCCTTTCAGAGGCACAATAAAGAAGGTCCAATGCTGCTGTGCATCTTTGCAAGCGATTCTGTTTTCTCATGTTACACACAGTGAGAGAGTGAGGGACCTTTCAGACTCATCAATCTTGTCAATTGGTCTTTCACATTGCACAAAACACACATAATAACTCTTTGTAATATAACAACTGTTCACTAAATCTTACATCTAAACAGATTTCTAAGTAGTAGTAAATATTAATCTCACAGTTAAAAATTAGTTAAAAATGCCAAAGTTCTAGTTGGTATTGCATGTTTCACATCTGTGCCTCATTCTTGTTGTTCATGAGTATGTACAGAAAGTTTACACTGACTGTACAGCATCAAGATAAACAAACAAACAAAAAAACAGCAGTGGTGGCAGATAATGTTTATAAAACCTTCACCAGATGCTAGCACATTCTATAATATGTCTTGTAAAGTCTAATTTAATTCTTTTTACCAACCCCATAAGATAAGTATTATTATTATTATCTCTGTTTCACAGTTGGGGAATGTGAGAGGAGACAGGAAGGTTAAAGAACGTGCACAGGGTTGTATGGTAGTAAGTGATAGAGCAGATTTCAAGCCCAAGAGAACATTTCTAAACACTGGGATAAAATATTTAATGGAAAAAATAATCCAAAAATATAGCTATTATATTTTCTCATTTCTTTAACATTAAGATAGTCTCAAAAAATGATTATTCATTCTTTTTAGAGGTACATATTACACCAGGTATTTGAAATACAGAAGTATACAAGACAGCCTTTGCCCCATGATTATTGTTGGTTGTGGTTTTACTATGCTAACGAATTAAAATTAAAAGGAAGTTCACCTTTGCTAATAAAGGCTACCATTTTGAAAACCTGTAACCATTATATTTTTCACTTCTAGAGATTAAAATAAGGGTCAAGATAGTTACTTCCATAATTAAATTTAATCCACCACCTAATGGACTACATTCAAGGTATTCAGATAGCCATTGTTGAAAATTAAGAAAAAAAATACTGGAATAAAGACTTGCCTTAAGTATCATTCTAAATGTATGTAATGAAGCAAGAATATCAACAGAGTTCCATGTTTTTCTTCCAAATACCTTGTAGACCATTGCATTACAGCCAATGATCATTTGTCCTAATAATGTAAGAATCAACATATATTGATCTTTGAGGCCATTTAGTGTATTCTCCCAACTCAAAGCAAAACTCCTCTCACATTTTTCAGAGAAGTTGAGCCTTTCCACCTTCTGACCATGGCAGGATTGCACTTCCTGATCCATTTAGGGTTGGGTATGCCATAAGGTTCAGCCAATAAGGTGTCTTTAGAACTGATGGCATTTCCTCAAGCAATAGAGCATTTAATTGCTGAAGTGACACCCTGAGATCTCTTCTTGCCTTTGAAGCAGGGACAAGCTGTGCTATCAGCCTGAGTCTTTGAGCAGAGGCCTCCTCTTCCCCTACCAATCTTTGATGGATCTACATAGTGAATAAGAAATAGTTTTTTGTTTAAGCAACTACAACTTCGGAGTTATTTGTTATTGCAGCATCATCTAGTCTATCCTGACTGATGAAAACTTTATCTCGTAATTCACTTATTAATTGAATTTTTATGTTCCATGCACTGTACTAAGCCATGAGGAGAGCATTATACACATCAGTAATCACAACTATGTCTTAAAAATACAAAGCATTCACAAGGTAAACACCAAACAAACAAACAAAAGCAGTAACAAAAAAAACACACACACAACAAAATAAAACCCAACTACTGCTTAAGAAAGAATAAAGATCCTCAGTAGCAACAGGGAATGCACACAGTTTGAAAGAGAAAACTGGTAATATTCCATACTACAATTTGAATCTGGATCCGTAAGGCAGAATTTTAAGTAACTGTAAGAAAAAGAAAATGGGAGACAAGATTTTTCTTCAGCTGGAAAAAAAGATAACCTTCAAGTAGGAGTCTCATTTTTCACCTCCAGCAGCCTAGCTCTACAATTACTTTATCAACTATAATTCATCATTGCTTATCTTGTCTGTCTTCCAGGTAGAAGAAAAAGAAAGAATAAGGTCCTTTCTTTTGTTCTTACACTTCTCATTTCTTTATTCTTTATTCTCCTTTTAGCACAGAGAGAAAGTTGAAATCCCACCAGCTTCATCTCCTTTTCTCTAACCAAAGCAATACATATATATTTTTATGTCAAATAAGTAGTGTCTTTTTTTTTTTTGCAAGGATATGAACATATATCAGAAGCACATAAAGGTCATGAAAATGATTGCTTTGGCAATAATAAAAACAATAATATGATGTTTTGGTTTATAAAACTTTCAAATCCATGGCTGATTTAAGATCAGATCCCCCAAAGCTACTCAATTCCAATGGCCATTCAACAACCCAATAGTTTGAGCCAGAAATGAAGACTCTTCTGGACATGTCTCTCCCCATAAACTTCCGCATCCAATCAGTCACTACCGCCTACTAATTCTACTTCCTGTTTATGCCTCAAATCCATCCAGTCTGTCCTTCTCCATTCAACTACTGTCGTCCAGGCTACCATCATCTTTTACCTGAACTATAACAAGTATACTTGTCTTGGAGTATGTAGCTCCCACCTGTGTCTCCCCGACTCTGCATCTGGAGGGAGCATATTTGAGACACATGATGATTATGTCACACCTGCTACTTAAAAACCTTTCAATGGTTTCCCATTGCACTTAAAATAAAGTCCAAATCTTATGTCCATGGTTGACGAGGCTCTGCATGAACTGGCCCACCTACTTCTCTAGCTTCATCTCTTACAAACGTTCTAACTCTTGGCTTCTAGTAGACTCTTCTCTTGGATCCTTGAATAGGATGGAGAAACTTTCTTTCCAAAGCCTTCTCTAGTGCTCCAGACAAGATCAGGTCATTGTGCTATGTCCCCTTATATCCCTTGGGACAGCACGTCTAGAATCTTAAATACCAGTATAAATAGCAATTTCTGGAATTATTTGTTTAATGCCTGCTTTATCTCCTTACAAGAATCACCATGAGGGCAAGGAGGACAAGCATATTGGTCATTGCTGCATCTTCAGAGTCTAACATACTGCCTGGCATATAGTAGACAATAAAATGCTTGAATGAATAAATGAATAATAATGAATGAATCAAAAATAAAATACTAATTCACCATCAGGATGGCATGCATAATGAACTGCCTTTACAGAAATAAGTAGATTTGACCAGGCACGGTGGCTCACGCCTATAATCCCAGCACTTTGGGAGGCCGAGGCAGGCGGATGGCCTGAGATCAGGAGTTCAAGACCAGCCTGGCAAACATGGTGAAAGGCCATCTCTACTAAAAATATGAAAATTAGCCAGGTGTGGTGGTGGGCACCTGTAATCCCAGCTACTCAGGAGGCTGAAACAGGAGAATGGCTTGAACCCTGGAGGCGGAGGTTGCAGTGAGCCAAGATCACCATTGCACTCCAGCCTGGGTGACAAGAAAGAAAAGAAAGAAATAAGTAGATTTTGTGACCCTCTCCATAGCCTTTGCTCGTTTTTTTGGTAGGTAATATATTCATGTATGAAGTGGTGACCCATATTCAGGGTGACCACCTTGCCTTGTTGCAATAACACTAAGTAAAGGAAATTGGCCTGTACACTGTTTAAAACAATGGCTACTTGCCACTAAATTTGTGTTGGATTTTATTTTATTTTATTTTATTTTTATTTTTATTTTTTGCTAGAAGAAAAAAAAATGAAATAATTGTGAATTTTCCACCCTGGTTCTCAGGATTTGATACCAATATGATCTGATGGTAGATCTCACAGCTGATCCCTGGAGAATAAAAAAAGTCGTCTACAGATGTTAAAAGTCAAAAGAAAGCACTTAGAATTTCAGTATATTGGACCTAGAAGAGACCCCCAAAATCTCCTTGTCTAGCCTGTTATTTTTAGAAGAAAGATGAAGACATAAGAAAGGGGAAGAGGCTTACTCAAGGGAACATGGTAAATTAACTAGCATAGATGATGTTAGAATACAACTTTCCCAATCTAATGTCGCTGTTTTGTGTGCTTCCCCACCCTCCAACGTAGACACACACATACA